TTGATATTAAATAAAAAAGATATTTATATAATTACAACACAAATATTTTAATAAAAATTTTGTCACAAAAAAATAATATATAAATTTATCACAAAAATTTAATAAAAAATATTATTATTTCAATACTACTCAATTTTGATTTAAAATTAATCATGCCCATCAGGCCCAAACTAATCTCAAGTTTTATTAAGTTTCACATGTTTTATAGTGCAAAAATTTATTTTCTTAAACATTTCTTATCGATGTGGGATATATTTATAGTGCACAATCTTATTCTCTTATGTGTTTTTTATTGATGTGGGATACATTGATTAGAGAAACTTGACAGTTTTTAGTGACAAAATATATTTTTTAGTGATAAATTATTTCGTCATCACTGAATGTGTAAGGCATATGTGACCAATATTAGAATTTTGTCATAATTGTAATGCATTATAGTGATGATTTTTATCGACAAAAGCTTATTTTATCTCTATAAACATTTTTCAATGACAAAATATATTTTTTATGATGAATTTTTTTGTTCATCATTAAATATGTATAAATTTATGATTAATTTTTTAGATCTGTCACAATTGTGATAAATTATAGTGATGATTTCAAAATTCATCACAAATTTCTGTCACTAAAAATCTTTTTTCTTGTAGTGCTAATGTTAGAAACTAAAAAGAAGAAGAATAATTTGAAGAAAAGTCTGCTCCAGTTGCTCGTCTCACATCTGTGCGTAGTTTACTTACTATTGTTGCTATACGGAGATGGAAATTGTTACAGATGGATGTGAAAAATGCTTTTTTTAATAGTGACCTAGAAAAGAAGTTTATATGAAACCACCTCCTCAGCTCAACCATCCTCCAAACAAGATATGCTGATTATGACATGCATTATATGAGTTGAAACAATCCTCTCGAGCGTGGTATGCAAAGTTTAGTGCTACTGTAATGAGTTTGGTTTTACTTCGAGTTCACATGATACAGCTTTAATATCATGAGAGAAAAAATAAAAAGAAGATAAATAAAAAGATATGTGAAGAAGGAAAGAAACTTTTTCTTTCCTTCTTCACATATCTTTTTATTTTTCTTCTTTTTATTTTTTCTATCAGCCAATTTTCAACTCATCTTTTTCTATATATCTACACTAAGTTGAATATATATATATATATATATATTTGGGATAATTGACTAAGTTGAATACTTCTATTGCTTATTGATTATACAAATT